AACATATTATCTCTTTACTCATATTCCTCAGTATTTTTAATTAAAAATCTTTTCATGGCTGTGTGATTTTAAATAACTAGTTAAGGTTAATTTCTCTTTTGGGTACAAGGAAAATGCACAATTATTTAAGAAATTTGTGAAGGTGGCAGGAAAGGTCATTTCAGAAGTTTCACAGTGAAGAGTCCAATTCCTATTTACATGGCATAATTGAACCAGTGTAATATGACAATGCATATTGTATGTCTTCTGTTACCATGTTCCACGGAACACTGAAGAATAATTGCAGACAAAAACTGAATATCATGGGAAAAAAGAGAGTCAACCCTCCAATTCAGATCAATTTCATTTTGCTCTTTCAGAAATTGTGGATAATCATTGTTATCTGATCAGTCCAACAGTAAGAGTATTAAAAAATAATTTTACATCTTTTAACTACTTCATCTACTTAACAAAAAATTTTAAAGCATGATCAGTCTGATGAGCAGAGGATTACATGAATATGTAATAGTCAACAAAGTTATATAAGGCCTTTCACCCATGTGTATTGTAAATATTAGATCCTGGAACTTAAATTAAAATATTCATAGCTCACTGGAGAGAAATGAAAAATTGATTAACTTAGATATTTGGGGAAAATGTGTAATCAGAGAAATGAGAAAGATGCAGTCTGGCTTGGGAATGAATTGCTGAGAGGTGAGGGTAAGGAGGAGGTGCCCAAAACATAACTCCCATGACACACTGTGGTGGCACTTCTAACTGCACTTGTTGCTTTCTCATATAGAAGGGTTCTAGTAAAAGGAAAAAAATAAAACAGAAATTGAAATTAGGAGTAAGAGTGAAGATTGTTTTCCTACGGCCTTTTTTATCCAAATTGACTTTTCTTAAGCGATTTCCAAACTGTTATATGTATGTCCAAAAAGTTTGCATTTTCAGTTGTTTCAACTGTTGGTGTGTAGATGCATACATGCTGTGTTTGCTTTATAGTAAAGGAAATACAGAATCCGTCTTTTCATTACAACTTAAGAGAATCTCAAAGTTCTGGAAATTTAATGGCCGTGTTTTAATGGAAAAAAGATTAATTTAAAAGATGAAATGATACTTCAGATTATTCTGTTGAGATGATATTTTTAAATTTTCTGTGATTTGAGAATAATGATTCCCTAGGGTACTGAGATGTTGTTGCTGTTTAAAACCTCAGAGCATGAAGAAAAAATCCTCTACCATGCATGTAGACCTTGTGTAGAGGTTACACAGAATGTCACTTTCACAGTTTAAGGCCCCAGAACTTTCAAACACAAAGGGTGAGCTCATTAGTCATCCAAAAAGTTTCTGCTGTTTTGTAGCTCCTTAAAAAATGTTGTAGAAATTTGTTACATATTAAGAAATATTTTTGATTCAGATAATAATGTGGCTGCTTATGTGTTTGAGATTTTTTTTTCTACAGCAGTAAATTCTTTAACACTACTCAGTTGATTTCTGAAGGTTCCCTTAAAGTGTACAACCTCATAAATCTAAAAAATTGAGTCACAGACTGGCTAGAGGAGATTAGGTTTGAAACAGGGAGGATACCTAATGTTTTACTTTAAAATGATGGTGCACTATCTCCCCTTTACTTTTGAATTCTATTCTGATATCCTTTGCAGCACAGGTGGTCTCTGGGACTTTCAGCAGTTGAATACACTATCAATTTTTGAGCATTACTGTCCTGACCAAAAAATTCTAGTCCTATTTTTAAGCTCAGAGAAAGAGATGCTGAGAACTCACAATGCGTGGGAAATTCAGCTTCACTGTCTATGTTAATAATTTAAAAGTACTTTGAATACCCTTTCCTGTCTGCCCTGTTGCTTTGCTTGAGCTTGTCCCTTGACCCAAAATGATAGAAAATGAGTCACTAGTTTTCTTCCCAGCATATTAACCTAAATTGCTGATAGTCAAACTGTTGTAGGAGCAAAGGAGCTTAATCACCACAACTGATTCAAATCTGAAATTGTGAGTGAGCTTGCTGTTCAAAATTTTGTTTTGCTGACCACCCTCCAGAATTAAGATTCCTCTTGAAGTTTTCATACTTCTAGAACTACTTCTAGGTTTTGCTAAAAAACATAAAAAGTTCTTAAACATTAATATATTTAATGACAGGATTGAACATCTTGAACTGCTTTCTATTCATTGCCACTGTGTTTATTTCCATTCCAAAGGCATAAGACTGCTACGTGGAACACTGAGAATTCCTTATAATAATCTCCACTTCTGTCTACTCCAGGATCATTAGCAGAATGGTTCTCTCTTTCTGTTTGGTGATTAAAGCTTTTGTGTTTGGTGTTATCCATATGTTTTGGTACTTTTATGACAAAATAAATAGAGGTTCATCTATCTGTTCTTCCATGAATCTGCCATTTGTGTGATTGTTTCATTATCTTCAGATGCCTTGCAGCTGTAAATTGATCTGATTTATAGGCCTGGACAGGCCATCTAAATCACACATTGAGGGTAAGTAAACTGAGTTTCCCAAACCAACTGACACTAATGAATAGTTATAAATATTCTCTTTAGTTAGGAATGTTTAAAGAGAGAGAGACAGAGAAACAGATCTGCCAAGAGGTTGGTTTTTTTCCATATAAAAGCTTCTCTAAATCACATTTCGCATTAGAAGAAATGTGATATGAAGATGACTTGAGGAAATCAAAGTGATTTAGGGACTTAATTATTGAAAGGGTTAAAATTCATACTATGCAGTTCTTTATGAAGTAGTACAAGGTACAGATGTAGCAAAGAGGTAGAAAAAGTAAATAAAGGAGCTTCTGAGAAACAAGATAGTTGAGTTCTACCAAGAAAAAAATGTAATTGTCCAAGCTCAGTTGTGCCTGATCCGGGAGACCTGAAGATAATATGTCAAGAATAGCATGGTCAGAAAGCAAAGATTTTCAGCACTGAAGTTTCTGCCTTGTCAGTTTCCAAGAAAAAAAAAGTGAAAACAGAGCAATGAAAAATAGATTATGGCTCATAACATACCATACATTTATCCTCTGAAATCACTAGTAATTATTAACTCAGAAAAAAAAAAGAAGCAACAATTAGGTGATCAGAGATTTTAATGGCAGGATAAATGGAAATTACTGTCTTCCTGGCAAAAAAAGTAAAATTCATTCCTTTAAATTCCAGTTACATAAGAATATGGGTAATTAGACTATTGAAGAAATCTGTGACAGAGAGTAGGCACTAGAAAATATCTATGAAATATGATTCTCATTCATAGAGCTTTCTGGACTCTTGAACACCCACAGAGAAAAATCAGCTGCAGATTGGTCTTTCTACATCATAGAAATAATAGAAAATAGGACTAGAGAGAAGTGTGAGTGGCTAGCTAATCTAACCTCAGTGCTAAGGCAGATGAGTGACAGCTGAAACTTTCTGGTAGACTAGCACAGCCCATACAATGTACTAAATGTGTTTTGGGGATTTTGTTTTTTGTTTTTCATTTCTCTCACAGTAGTACAGAAAGATGTACTATATGCAAAAAATGTGTTCTTAAAACAGCTAGTACCATGGCAATGGACTCAACTTCATTTCTGTGTGTATTTATTTGACCATAAACCTAAACAACATTTAAATTTAAATTCTGTTGTGCTGCAAAAGTTGTTTAAATGAAGAAAGAACTCAATTAATTAAACTTTTCTTGCCAGGTGTTCTTTGTGGCAGGATTTTGAAAATTCTGTGTGTTTTCTTTTTCTGCGACACCTATTCAGTCACAGAAGGTGCGAAAGCAACACCCGTCTTTGCTCTTTGCATTTTAAAGGAACCTTTCTGCGGTAAAGAGCACATCCACGACAGAAGAATCTACTCTCGGAGTGTGTTCCTGCCTACGTGTGCCATGTGTATCTGCCCTTAAATGTATTCAAAGAGACCGAAATGTTCTGCATTGTGGTATCTGCATTCAACATATGGAGCATTTGTGTGTATCTGGAGGTAAAAAAAAAAAAAAAAAGGAAAAAAAACAACCAAAAAAACCCCTAAACCAAACCACATAAAACAAAAAAATACCCACAGCAAAAGCAGTAGCGCAATGGAGGCTGACGCCAGTCTTCAGCTTTACGTTTTTATACCCACACGTTAGAGATTACCCTGCCCTCACCTTTGGGTCATTTCCCTGGGCTTTACGGCTCATCTGCTGAGAGCTGGACGGCAGGAGAGCCCGGCTCCGGGGCTCGCACGGAGGGCTGGGCGTGCGGTAGAGAGACGGGGGACCCCGCGCCCCCCAGGACGCGCCCCTCCTGAGGTAGGGCCCTCCCGCCCCGCCGCCACCTGGGGTCCCTGCCCTGACCTCCGGGTGCTCTGCACGGAGCCTGTTCTGTGCGGGTCGTTGAGGAAGGATACCGAGTGTAAAAATCAGCCGGGAAAAGTGCATCTTGAGAGAAACGTCTCCTAGGAGCGCTCGCTCTCTTGAAACCGCAGCGGGTGGCTCTGGCAAGCGCTCTTCAGAAGTAATAGGGTCGGGTATCACGATTTTTTGTGCATCTATGACTGACTCTGTCAAGTGACTTTCCATGCAACACCCCTGCCCGTGGCCAGGGTTATATCCCTACCGCACCCCATGTCACACGTTCCCTGCCCATCCCGGTTTAGCACCCCTGCCAGTCAGCAGTGTGCGATGCTCTCCCCGGTTGTTTCCCTTGCTATCGGGAAAGGTTCTACAGATGAAAGACAAAGCGCATCAGGCGTCAACCGAACGAGGACCGCCCCTGGCCCCGCGCCGGGGGACCGAGCACCTGAGGAAACTTTTTTTTTTTTTTTGGTTAATAATAATAATAATAGAAAAATAAAATGGGGACAGTTCCAGACCACAAGACAGTTCCCTTTCGGGAAAAGCCCGTGCGGGGCGCGCCCCGCGGCGGTGGGTGCGGGGGCTCGCCGTGCGTCAGGCAGAGAGTGGCGTCAGCGCCTGCGGGCGCGGAGCGGCGGGGAAGGGGCAGCGGGAGGGGGCACGGGGTATGGGGGGAGGAGGGAGGGATCTTCGTCAGGAGGCGACGGCGGCACCGCTGTGACATCACCCCGCGGCTTATATAGTTGGGGAAGGGTCTGTGTCCCCCGTCTGGTGCATGCAGCCGCCCGACAGCACGCGTGCGGAGGGCGTGGAGCGGCGGGGCTCTGTCTGTCTGTCTGTCTGTCTCTCTCTCCGTCTCTCCTCAGGATTTATGGACTTTACTTTCTAGAGGGCGGCGCGGCAAGGATGAGAGTCCAGCTAGTGTGCGTGGTGCTGCTGGCCCTGGCCTCCTGCAGCCTCTGCTCAGGTAAGTCCCCACCGCCGCCCTGCACCGGGTCCGGCCGGGCGCGCCCCGCACCGCCCGTCCCCGAAGTCCCCCGACCACTCGTCACTGAGTCGCTCCCGGCGCCGTAAGAGAGACCTAAAGGAAAGAGGTGAAGTCGCTTCGGGCTTCCCCAGCTGTCCCCGGTAGGCGCCCGGGAGCTGTCTCTAATAACGGGCTCCGGCCAGCATCATGTTTTGTATTACTCCCGTAACTTTCTTCCTTCATATAAGCCCTTCCTTCTCACGGCATCCATGCCATGGAAGTAACTGTAGATTAGTCATTGGAAATAGAAATCAAGGTAGACCATCTGCTTGGTTGTGCTGCCTCATTCGTGGTTCATTGAATATCATGTGTTTCAAATTATGATAGAAATTATGATTTCTGCAACTCATGAATAGCTGCTGTAATCCAAATCAACATGAATATGTATGCACTTTCATCACTTTTTACAGAGAGAAATACAGTTTTATTATGTGGGGAAAAAATTGCTAGCAACTGATCTGAAATTATGATCAAAAAATGCTGAAGCAGATGCAGATCACAAAATAGGAAGGTCAATGTAAATACATTTCTTCTCCAAGAGCAACTGCTTTAGAAACTCAGAAGGAGTTAAAATGCATTGCCTGCTCCTTTGGAAAATGATATATCTGAAGATGTGCCATTTATATCCCAAGTTTATGACAAAAAATGGGTACACACAAGTGTACAGACACAGACAGGAAGCAGAACAGCCTTAAAAATCCACTCTTAACTAACTTTTGAATTATTTTGATTTTTAACTCCACAAAATTTAGTAAGCAAATTTACAAACATCTTCACTTTTCAACTTCAGTATTCAGGAGGACTCAGAAATCCTAATTCTTCCTTTAGCTGAAAGTTTTCAATTTGTATTCCCTGCAGAAGAAAAATGTAACACACGTAATATCTGCATTTTATCACAGTTTAAATATAATCATTCTGTATATTGTAGAGAACTGGTGATCTTAGCGACAAGGCTTAACATTGATTTTTTTCTCCCCATCTATTTGAAGCTTTTTAAACAAATTCTTGTATTCTAGTATTTTCAATGAGGCAGTTTCAAATTTAATTCTTTGTAGAGCCTAAATGAAAGCCCATTAAAGTAAAAAATTTCAGTGGAAAGTAAAATAGGTTCATAAAAGAAAAAAACAAAACCAGAAGCAAAATTGTATGTATAAATAACATTGATGGTTTATTTGCTTGAAAATTTGAAATTATTTTTAAATGAGAAATGCTACAGAGAAGTTTGTGTGAAGGAGCCTAAATCAGTTTTAACTAAAATGGTCAGTTATGTCAAGTGATGGTTAATTTTAATTTACTTTTGAAAATGTTTGCCATCAGGGGAAAATGCGTAACTGTAGAATGTAACTGTTCCTGTAAAATATGAAAATTTGAATAGAAACTATTTTTCTTGTCAGTCGAACTAAGAAGACATCAAACTGTGTGAATTTCCCTCTGATTTTAATGATAATGTATAACCAGACTTCTTATACATTGCTCTCTGAGACCCTGTTCCTTTTATGCTTTTGCTCCTTGTCCATCTCTTTCACTCCTGAAATACCTGGACGTGCTTCCTTCTTTTCCTCCAAGCCTTGCTTTATTATTCATTCAAAGAATTTTGACTAGATTCCTAAATAATGTCCTCTAAGCTTCTTTTCTCAATCCAAACACTTCTTAATACCTACCCACTTTCCACATCTGCAGCTACCTTCCAACCTTACTGGTGTGGAAGCTATCTTACATCCTTTATAGAATATAAAAACCAGGTGTTAATCAGACACAAGCCCTTTAACTGTTCTCAGCAGGCATGACCCAGGACACCACAAATCATGATGCTATCATTGTGTGTGCTGCTCACCTGTTCACAGGAGTTGCTAACACTGGTAGAAATTCAGCTGAGGTGATCTTGTGCTGCCAGCCAAACTTTGGGTAGTGGCAAAGCAATTAAGAAGTCAGGTAAAACTGACAACCATTGCTGCTGGAAGGAAGAAAAAGGCATTAGATCGGAGAATAGTGGCTAGTGACTTGCCATAATACTGATCTACAACCAGTCTTATTTAATATGAAAATGTTAAATATGAAATAAGACTGGTTGTAGATTAGTATTACAGCAAGTTACATCAATACAGTAACTTCAATGCAAAAAATAATGAATGAATACATTGTGTTGGTAATGCAAAGGTGAGCAGGAGCATCTCTAGAGAGGAATGGGATATGTGTAACTCACAGAAGTTTTTGATGACCTAAATAATTGAACTGAGAAGCAGTGCAACAATACAAAATGCAACAGCTTACGAAATAATAAAAATTCCCGTTAAAAGCTCCTTTTAACCAAAGCACAGCCATCGCTGAGGAAATAAAAGACTTGATCATATTATCTAATCTCTTTTTTTGTGTGTGTGTGTGTGAGATAATGAAGTTTTTCAGCCATAAAAAAACAAATAAAATACAAAAATATGTAAGAGAGCTGCCCTCTGTAGCTAGTGGTAAGCATTAAGGTTGTTAAGTGTTGAGGCTTCTGATTCAAACTGTACTGTGCTCTCTTGAGAACACATCAGGCACAGAGGAGGGCTGGTCTGATGAGCTGGAGAATACAAGGTTATTACAAGAGAGAAAAATAAGTGAGAGTCCCATAACTCGGGGCATAGCCTTTTAGTGAAACATTTATGGGATTTCCAGGGGAATGGTTTATGTTCAAAAAGGCACAGTGATCTTGCACTGATCTTTGCTGATCATTGCGTAAGCACCTACCAAAAATCTAAGCTGGGAAGAGCTGTGATTCCTCTGAAAAAATATTACAAATAGAAATTTATCATTTTTAGTGTATGAATTTATATACATACCATGAATAAATTTGTAATTAGAAATAAATTAGGCTTGAAATTAAAATAAAGTGAATAAACATTGATAGTTTTGAAAAATTTCCTAAAGAAGAAACACAGTGACGGCAGTGGTAAGATCTATGAAGATTGAACATGATTGATTTCTACGAGCATAAAAATGGCTTCTGTGCTAACAGAAACCTGTGACAGATTAGCACGTATTTGTGTATAAGGTCCCTTACAATCTCATATTCTGGGAAAGGTAGTGACACAACATGGTGATGATCTCTGAAATGAAGTCATAGACAGAACCTATACTCAGATTCAGTGGTAGGGTGTTACATACCAACAGCATTGATCATTTTAATGAAAGTGAGATGTGAGTTATATAAATATGGAATAGATTGTGGTTTAATTTGGTTTGAAATATTAGTGTATTGTTTGGCTTTAGGGCTGCTGGTATTCCAGGAAAGCTAAAATCTATATGAAACACTGTTTCACTTAAAGACTGAGAACTGATTTCTATATATTTCTCCTTTCTGAACTGTGATTGCTACTACATTTTCAAGGCACCAGATCTTCCTTGTGGTTCTTTACAGCACAAAGTAGAAATACGTGTGTCTGTTTTCTCTTTGTACAACAATTTTACCCTTTTCACCAAATCACAGGTCTTGCGAGTCTACTGAGCTATCAAAGATCAATTAAATCAGTAAAGAAAATCCCAAGACTGCCACTCAGAATGTTTTCTTTGTGTATATGCACTGTCAAGATCTTGTATCACAAACTGGTCAAGCTTGATTCCCTCCTATCAATAAAAATAGCCTTAATTCAACTCAGAATAATCAAGAGAATTGATTATTAATCAGGTAATCATAACTGCCATTCACCTAAACGCTTAGCTGCCACTTAAATAAATATCATTTAAAAATATAAATGCAAATTCTTCTTCCAAAATAAGAAGAGGTAACAAATAATTATTATGAAAATCATAATGATTTTGAATGAAGAATATTGCAGCAGGTTTTTTTCACTGAAAGGACTCCACTTCAATGGCCTGTCCACCATTGAATTGAGATTAGTGAACTGTTTCATTCACCTCAATAAGCTTGACTGTGCTTTAAAAAGGTAGTAAGTATCATTTTTAACATAGTGTTGTCATTACCTGAAGACTCTTCACCGTCCCTCTGAGTCATTTCGCTGTGGTTTTATCTAGGTTGTGTTTGTTTTTCAAAGTTCATTGATATAAGTTCTGTATACTAAATTGAAATGTCCATGATTTATGATCAAATAATAAACATATGTTTCTGGTTTATTCCCAGATTCAGAAGAGGAAATGAAAGCATTAGAAGCAGATTTATTGACTAATATGTACACATCAAAGGTAATTATTTTTCCTCTTTTAGCTGATGAGGAGGGAGCAAAAGAATTCTCATTACAAACCCAGAAGTCTTTGGACAAAATAATAACCTGTGGTCTAGACCAAGAAGTTCAGTGTTAGGTTTTACTTTGGTGCAAGATTTCCTCTGGTTCAAAGGAAATTTAAAGGTGTTGATGTGACACAATAAATGTGTTCCTCACATGTACACTGGTACTTTCATTAAACTGTCAAAACTGTGTTATGTGCAGAGATGTAAATTTATATGAGGAAATGTGTTCCCAATATGATTATGCCTGATGAAAGCTAAGTTAACCTTGAGTCAAATCTGTAAGCGCTATTTTCACGCAGAACTTTTCCTATATACATATAAAATTAGGACAGTCGTAAAACAAAAATTGTTAATACATATGCTGATTTTGATTTAAGAATTTAATCATAGTGTTAGTACAGGAACATGGGGACATGACTGTGAAAATATTAACCTGATAAATAGCGTTTCCTTGATAAGTTGCCAGACTGTGAATGATCTACATGTTATTTAACACAAATAGATAAAAAATCAGTTAAACCTCATATTGACAAGGTGAAGCAGCAAGTGTTGCTCATATGTATTGAACAGGTTGATAGACAAATAATTTCTTAACCCTATTATTTTCCACAAATGATCTAAGAAATACATATGTCTGACATACCTTCAGCAACATATTAAATAACAAACCCTGAAACAAGTGCCATGGGTTTAAGGATGAATATTTTAATTCATTGTTCCAATGAAGTTCACGTGGTGCTTAAATTTAAGAAAAAATAAGATGAGAAATGAAAAATTTCTTCCAAAAAAAGAGAGGTTCGTAAGCCAATGACTAGTTGAAGGTTAAGTACAATACCTGCCAGGAATGCTTCTGCATTTACCGTATTTGCTTATATGTGAGCTTTTCCACAGAATTATTGAATAGACTAAAAGAAGAAATGAGGCCAGAAAATAATTTTTTTTTAATCTGATTTGGCAGGTATTAGGTTTCTATGTTCTTTAATGGCATGGTAAGTAACCTTAGATGACAAATAAACCTGTTTGCTACTCACTTTTCTAAGATACAGAAAAATTTATTAGCTACTCTTTTTCTGTGGCATATTTAAATGTAGGAGGTTGATAAAAATAGTACTTTCTCTGTGCGGCAAAGCATAGTATACCCTGGAAGGAAAACATGCAGCTATCGGTATTTCTGCTGCTGGCTTTAGTGGATCTGTGAACATAACTTCCACTTTTCCTCCCTCTCACCACATAACACAAGCTCAGGTAACTCAAAATGGACAAATATATTGCACTGGTTGATAATGTAATGATGTTTGCCATAATACTCTCATGTTGTTTCATGTCATGTAGCTTGCTATTCAACTTTATGGTATTTAACACCAATCAAGTGACACTTGATGTTGACAGAAGCAGTTGATTCATGCTGGAGACACTGCTTTAATTCTGCATTATATTGCCTTAAATTACCATCTAAAATTCATTATTTTAGACAATATACATTGTCTTTTGGCATCAAAGTAAGGCATGGTGGAACTACTAAAAAGTATCCATCAAGTTTTCTACAAGAGGTATACCACTATTACATTCATTACTGAAATGAATTATTTTTTCCTGTTGTCCTCTGCCAGCTCTGTAATTGCTGCCTTGTCTTGTGCCAGAGATCTGGTTCCAGTTGAGGGCAATTACTGCTCAATTGCATTAACTGTCTTTGACACTGACTTTGTAATAAGCAGCAAACGAAATCCTGACAATTTAAGCAGCATTAAGATGGAAAAAAATATTGTTTACGAAAGCTCAGATCTAAAAGTGAAGCAAAGTGGATCATCACTTCTGGGTTTAGTATTTGACAGAAAAAAAATCTGCCTTAGTAGGCACTTGTGAAATATATCATCAAGACTACTTCTAGGGCTTAAGCACATACCTTTTGCAACGTTCAGTAGTCTATCCAATATTACAGGAAGAATTACTGTATGCCTTTGATTTCACAAACGGTTGTCCAGTGTCTGCTGCCCTTTTTCAAGCTGCTCTTTAAAGTCATCCATATGGTGAATCACTTTCCATCCTTAAAGAAGTATGTCCGTGCTTATCATAACCTCTCTTCAACATTTAATAAAGTTTATCGCCCTTTCCTGCTGTTACATCTTAAAGAAGACACAAGGGGCAAACAAGCCCCTAAAATGCTTTATCTGGCTTTTCTCTAAGATAAAATCCAAAAAGCCATTTGGAAGATCTGGTAAAATGACAAAACCTGATATGTCACAAATATGCGGACAGTTATCTCCTGCCTCTGCTTCGTATCAAATAGAAAACTCTATTCCTATCGAAGGGATAACTCTTCATAGCTTCCTAAATACTTGCCTGAAAGCAGTACTTGCATGAAGAATGTCCTGAACTCAAAAATGATTGAGTTCATTTTTTAATTGTGTCTCCCCCATGTTAATTATAGGGGGAAAAAAATTTCCTTGAAGAGTATATCATCACCAGAATATACTCCAGATTTGGGATCCCGCCTGACATTAATTTTCTGAAGTCTTGAACGCTCTGAGCTTTTCATTGTTTTAGGATGCCTATTTCTGACTGTATTTGCCCAGAGAGTTTAGCCTCCTTGTCAGAAGAGCTGCCTAGAAGTTACTGACTTCCTGACTTAGTCATCATGTGAAAATTCATTAGGTTTACAGGCATAAGTATACACCATGGAAGAACTTCTGCTGTAGCAGAACTCAATATTATATCTGATTAAATGTAGAGAATATTTTTATTATTTCTATCATTACAATCAGAACAAAATTCAGCTACTATTCTGGAAAGGAGCCATAGAGATCCTACACTAGCTTGGGCTTTTTACTTGATTATGACTTTGTTTTTTATCTGCTTTCACTACATAAAGAATTTAAGAACCAGATAACTGTTTTTCTAAAAAAATATAGCATTTGGGAGGTATGCATTATAATAAAAGAAGTGTCTTAAGCAAACTATCAGGAGTATCATTCAACCATAAATGGAAATAAAATATCATATAAATTATAACTTGGGAATCTTTTATCTTGCATAGGACAAACCTGCTGTCGAAGAACAAAATGTTCTCAAGCTCATTTTAGTTTCTTATGTGATTTAAAATTCTCTTTCAAGATATATGAGGTGTGGGAAATGGTATATCTGAGTCTTTTTTCAGAAGAATGTTCAACAATGGAAATGCACACATCATGTTCACTGCAGCATTAATACCTTTTAAATTCTTGTTCATACTGCAGTCTCTTTTGTTCCTTCAGATCATTCCCAGATATTTTTCAAGTTAATCTTAAAAAATTGGTTCCATCTTGGCAGATAAGTGTTCCTTGTTCTCTTGTGTAGGTATTTTTCAAAACATGTCTTGAGCTACTGTAGTTGTTATTGCTTAGCCTTTGTGGAAAATATATCACATACTGGAAATTAACCTGAACATTTGGATTATCATCATCTTAAACTGTGTTTTTATATATACTTTTAAGATAACTGCCTCAGAGATTTTTCATAATCTAAAAAGCAAAACTGTCTGATTTTCATGCTTTCTGTAATAGTGGAGAAGAAAAATAACATGACTGCTCTGTTCAGTGATTGGACATGACCCAGAAAACTCCATGTTCAGTTAAAAAACCCCCAAAGTTTACTCTTGAGTTATGTTCTTAATTGTTTATAGTCTCATGTTATGAACTGGTAGCAACATAAGTCAAAAGCAAGTGTACCCAGGTAAAAATACTTCAAGGTGATATATGCATGGTATTAATAGGAATAAGACTCTCATCACAAATGAAGTTTGCAGACGGTGCTGAAAAATAGTTTCCTCCTAACCTCATAAGTATCAGCTAAGACCAATTTCACCTAATGAAGTCTACTATTTAAGTATTTTATTAATATACAGGGTAAACTTCCTTTAAACATAGACATGCATCAGGCTGACATAAAATAGTAACTGTAGATCGAAAAGAATCTATATATCATGAAAGAAGGTATAACAAATTTCCCTATCCTTTACTCTTCTCTTTTGTTCCCATCCACTGGAACATTTTTGGTTCTTTTTTAACTCAGAAATCTCATTTGCTCATGTAGCACTGCCTTTAGATTTTATGCTCCACTGTAATTTAGCTGTTGCAGTGGTAGCTTGCATTTCTTTTGTATCCAAGAGAGAAACGTGCACTGGAAAAGCTTCCTCAATTGTCATAGAAAGCTCCATATTTTTATATTTCACAAATATTTTAAAACAGACTAAAGAACATTTTAAAATTGCAGTGGACACTTTTCTTTTTCCTAGTTTATCTGCTGTTAATAAAATTAGATATTCTGCAAAGAGATTAATTTTATTTGAACCTGTCACATATTCAAATACTTTGATAGACTAACCTGGACACTTAGATGGGACAACAGATGAGCTCAAAGTAAACAGTGTAGAACCAATTACAAGCTTCCGAATAAGATTTGAGATTTGCTTTCTTCTTAGCTTCAAAACAAAATACTCTTTCCTTATTCTTTCTGAACCCTCTCAGGAATCTGAGAACACAGTGTGCCTCTATTAGGGGGTTAAATCATTCTCATTTTGAAAGGCATGTGTGTATCAGAGGTATATCGGAGTAATGATCATGACCAAAAAGGAATTTTTGTATCTGTTGCTAATAGTGGTGCCAGCTGTTCTTGTTTCTTCCTCCTTCCTCTTGATTTTCTTTCTTCTCCCTCATAAAATAGGAAAGTGTGGTGAATATAGATTATTTATAAATATATTTATATTTATAAATAAATCTTGCATGCAATGCCCCTTTGTTAGGAAGGTGTTCTAAAGAAACAGATGATGTGATTACCTGATGTTCAGATGAGTAAGCACTGCATCCACACTCGATTAGTGCTGTCAAGTATGTGAAAGGCAATGTCTGTGTTAGTATATTACCTATATCTAACTTAGGGCATCCAAGAAAGGAAGCAACCATATTTCAGTTCATAGGTAAAGTCTAATCCTAATGTGAACATCAAGGCAGTCCTTGCCAGTAATAAATAGGAATTTGCTATTTGACTTTTGACTGGAGATTGCTGTGTCACCAGTAGTAGTTTAAGGAAACTAATTTCTCTACTAACCACTAAAAGGAATACAATACGAAAGAAATAATTAATAGTGGGAGAACCAAGAAAGTGGCAAAGACATGAAAAGCAATGAATGAGGTAGGAATACACTTTTTCACTTATTTTTTTCCTATTGATAACCAAAATTGAAGAAGACAATTGCCACAACTGCTTGGAAAGAACAATACCAGTAGAAAAGTAAAATTAAGATTCCCAAAATTTTTTAGAAGTGTTTAAAAGTTAAATAGCTCATAAGTAATGTAAGGTACTGGAACAAGCAAAATTTGAGAAAAACCATGATGAAATTTCTTTATTTCTTTCTGTAACGTCTCTGAGCAGGTTCATTATGGACCATCTAAATATAGTTCACAGTTTTTCAGTCTAGTTACCAAGTCAGGAATACTTTGCAGAGATCTGTTTTATCTTTGCTCCATCTTCCTCTAAGCCTGTAGCTTCAATTAACATCTCCCAGGCTCTTGACTCTCCAGCATCCAAAACTCCTGGGGCTTATGAATTCCATAACTTCAGACCCAGCCTCATCAGACAGATTGTGCCAGGGCAGGGACTCCTTTCCATTTCTCAGGGAATTTTGAAGTGATTGGTATTTGTTCTGAACTGGGGAGGAGCATCTAGTTAACCACAGGCATCCAGCTTGCATTCCAGAACTGGGAATTTATCCAGTGGGTTTGATTCACTGTCCTTATTTACACCTGTGACTTTATATTATATTAATTTCCATCTATGTTTTGTTTGCACCTGTGCAGAATGGCTATGAAATGCTGTCATTCTGTTTTAGTAGCAGTTTAGTTTTTTCATTGTGTTTCTCTACCTGCAGGGTAAGGCTGTGGGGAAGCAGAATTGGTGTGCTTAATAAATGAGCTATCCTAAGTTCAGCACTCTATAATTATTGTCTAAAAGTTGACCAGATGAAAAGTGCTTCAGAAATACAAACTTGCTCCTAACAAAATGTCTGAATGTTGCACATGATTACTAAAAAGCCAAAACACATTAAATACTGGGTATTTTTATTTTTAGATTAACAGAGCAAAACTTCCTTACTGGAAAATGACCCTGCTAAATGTCTGCAATCTTGTCAACAACCTAAACAACCAAGTGGGAGAGATAGTAGAGGTAGATGAAGAGGATCTCATTACAGGAAGACAGCTTCCCTCTCCTCTGGATGGCTTCAGCTTGGAAGCAATGCTAACAGTATATCAACTCCAAAAAGTTTGCCACAGCAGAGCCTTTCAGCATTGGGAGGTAAAAAAGCCTGTTACAAATGCATGTTTTGTCTTCTGTTAAACTCTCGGGCTCTATTTTTAATGGTGCTGTAAAATCCATATCCATCTGACCTCCATCACATTGTCTGAGCTTTCCTTCCCTTTTTTATTTTCTCTAATACCACTAATATGCCTCTTTTAATAAGAATTGAGAATTAGTGCAGTTTGTGATGAGCCAAGTGTGTGTTTCTTATAACAACCCACGGACACATGAGAACTTTTCTTAGCTGGTTACTTTCTTCATTCTTTGTAGCCATTCCAAATAACCAAACAAACACATGAAAGTGATCTCTATGCCAGAATACATAATTAATATCTGCTTAACAGTTGTGAAGTTACTCACATTTATTGAGGCATAAATAAATGCAGTCAGTATTTTTGTTTTAAGACCCTAAGGCAAACTGGATTCAAAATGCATGGACACAGGCCCATGTGTACATACCATTTTGCTTGCTACTCTGGGTTTCATATCATTGCTAGGAAACTGGCAGAAAGGTAATTCCTGCTTTTTGTTTCCCTGCACCTAAAGAGGGCCCTGGAAGTTGACACTGTGACTGTATGAAAATTACTGCTCTTAAATAGAGATTGTTTGTAGTCCATTTGTGATATTTGTTGTAGTGCAATGATCACACAGAAGCACACTAGACACAATCCTCTTGTGTTGTTAAATAATACACTAAAAGCTTTTTTGTGTAGCTAAAAAAGATATCTCAGTGTCACTACTTATTTTCCAGTAAACCAGATTTCTTCAGCTATCTCAGGTTCACAGATAGTCTTATGGAGGAAACTCTGTATATAACAGACCTATTCTAAATCCTCATATTTGCTGAGACATTTCATACAAAAGACTGCAACATCTTTGAGAACTCCGAAATAAAACTAAAAATACAGTTATATATACAAGTTTGGTTTGCAAAATTTTGGCTTCTTGTGCTTTATTTAATTTCTACTTTGTTTATTACACATTTTGATTTTTTGGCTGTAGGAAGTTGCAGATTAAAATATTGCTCAAAAGCTGAAACCAGAAAGGAGTGCAGGTGTTTAGCCTAAATGAGTGACTACAGATTGACAATCATTAGGAAGTTTTCAGTAAGTTTGAGTTTTAATGCAAGGAGGATATACTAGCTTTTCTCTCTAGTCAAAACCAGTGATCTCATTTGTTTCAGTGGAATTTAAATATCATCTCTGCAGGGCTCAGCTGATCTTTAGCCTGATCTTAGTTTTGTGTCTTGAGTTTTGTCTTTTTTTTTTTAACCCTGCAACTATTGTAGTAAAGATTTTTTTTGGTGGCATATGTTAAAGTATTTTTTAAAAATTTCTAGGAACTTACAATCTTTATTACCAAAAAAAGCTGATAACATTTTGTCTCTTCTTGCATCCTACAGTTACTTCAGCAAGATGCTTTTGATCTAGAGAACTCAAGCCAAGAAAAGGAAATAATGAAGAGAAAAAATCCCTATATTCTGAAACGGCAGCTACATGTGAACAAAGCTAGAAGACCATACATACTCAAGAGAAGTTCATATTACTGATACAGCAGAAGAAAACAATGTATATTTAGTTTATAGGTAACTGTGTATTATGGTTATCTTATCTAAATCTAAAATCATACTTGTGTGAAAATATACCATGGAAAATCAAGATGATAACATAGCTGTGTCTTTTTTGCAATTGCTGTTTCTCGAATGTGAATTTTTCCTACTTGAGATTAATTGGACTAATACATTTGCAAATAAAACTAGTTTTTAAGCATGATGTATTGTACAAAACTGAGATTTCAATATACTTACAATAATCTTGTAGTCTTCTCCAATTTTATAAAGGACACCAACATAACACGAAGGAAATTGATATTGACCATAAATCCTGCTGAGAATCTTACAATTTCTTAATGCAACATGTTAAACATATATATGTTTCCAATTTTTTTATAATGTGCTAGTAAGAACTGCCACAGTATTTTATGTATTGGCCATTAATTTATTAAGGAATAGGTCTAAGGAAGGAAGGGAATACTATCAACTAACTATTAAACGGCAACTTCAAAATTAATATTTTAACTAGCCTGCTTGTAAGTGAATTTTAAGTTCTTGACTTCTAACTTGCCACTGAAGACTAATTATTTAGGAAAACAATACATAATGGGACTTTTAAAAAGTATGCTAGTGAAAACAAACCTAGATGTGCTTCAGAGTCTTGTATATCACTAACTAAATAATTTATTAAATCACTAAAAGAATTTACAGTGTTTACCTAATCTACGCATGCTCAGGAAAAAAAAAAAAGACAAAACTAATTCATGTCCCAGTGTTGTCACCATTAAAAATCAAAATAGTAATCTGATTACATGAGAAACTTGGGGAAGTATTCGAAAGATGAATTGAAATTAGAACATCTTAAAGTTACAACTAAAAGTCATTTCCTTTCCTTACCTCTACAATTTTGTAATAATAGTCAGTTTCAAGGTTAAGACAGTCTTGGAGGCTAATTGAGAGGGAAGTTCACAGAATGGGAAAAATTGTTTTCAAGTGCAAGGAATCAATTTCCACCTGAAAGTTACATATTTTCCCACTCTGTGGTGTGTGCATAAGATTTGGGATCTCAATGATTCTGAGTTCCAGTCTGGAGGAAAACAGGCTGAAAGGACTGGGAGCCACAGCAACTATAAAAATAGAGGGATAGTGCAAGCCCTATGAAGCCTGGATGCTCAGACCAAGAGGCAAAATGGGACAGACATTTTTGAAAACTTGCCTGTTTTCTGGCTGAGGTATTTTCTCAAAGCAATTCTGCAAAAACAAACAGATAAATATCCCCTCCAGAACTACTCCCTAAAACCAACTAAATAAAAAAACAAACCAAAACCAGAAACACCCTCACCCCCCCCCCTCCAAAAAAAAAAAACCAGACCCAGAACCAAAACCACTCTGAGAATTTCCAAATCCTCTCACAGGTTAGATTTTCTGCCAATTATTATTAAACATATACAGGGATATGCATAGAAAGAACATACCCATACCAATGGTTATACCAACTTTGTTACATGGGGAGGGATGCGGTTTTTTGCAGTAAAATTTATTTTCGCTGTACTAAAACTAATTATATTTCTTTTTCTTAATGCAAATGTTATTAATCAGTTTATTCATTCAATAACCATTAAATGTATGCACTGACAAGATATAACTGAGCATTCACTAATTATTGTAATAATCACTATGACTTGAATACAACAAAGCACTTAAACACATTCAGTCTCAATGTTTTAAATGCTTAATGTACTTCAGGGCTTTGCTTAAATAAGGTTCTAGTAAATTCATACCTTCATTTTTTTTACAAAACTGTCATATAATTAGACTGGAAACCCAGTATACTCTCAAGTGGCTAACATTCTCTTTCCAACAGACCTATAAGATCCCTAGTCCTATTGTGGTTATTTTACATTCTGAATTATCTTTTGGTCCGAAATTACAAAGCAAAACAGAGGTTGTTCCAAAATTCACTACTAGCAGTATATAAGGAAAAAAATAAAAAGAGACTTCAGATTGCTTTTTCATGAGAAACACAGAAGAATAAGACAAAAAAATAGGTTGCCATTATATTTTTCTGTCATGTTCAGTGTAAGAGTATAAGAGCTAAAAAAAAAAAAGTAGGATAAGGTAATATGGTCTTCATATCTTCAATGTACACTTTTCAAAAAAAAAACCACACTTCCATGTTTCATTTTGGAGGTGATTTAGATATTCAGGGTGATGGCAGAGGACCTCAAATGATGATATTAATGGTTTCACCCTCATCTAGTGCCCCATGCTCGAGTTGGACTTACCTTGTGACTGTGTACTTGATCCTTGAAGTGCAGAGCTAACAGACTGGCTGAAAATGGCTTTAAATAACCCATTTCCTTTCAGCATACTGTGAATCCACACACAGCCAGCTATTATGTGTCACTAGAGGAGGCAGAGGCTAAAGCATGTCAGGAAAGTATATCTTGTCAGGTGTCCCTAGTCTCTGATGGAGGTGTCCAGGGACCTGTCAGAGGAATGGCATTCAGAGTGACAGTCTGAACTAGATAAGGAAACAAAATCCATAACCGTAACATGGTCAGTTAAGCTACAAAAGTCAATGCTGCTGATTCAGCTTTTTGGTCACTCATGAAAAGCAAGCATAACAATGTTAAAATATTAGAAAATATACTTAAACCATAGAATTAAGCCAGGTGCACAGAGATGTTAAAGGAAATTTTGAAGTCTGGGAGACCTTTATTTGCTTCAAATATCTCACTTCTGGCTGTTGCTTCCTCCTGATGACCTCCCTGCTGTGGAATTGCAGCTTTCCTTTAGCCTTCACTTTTGGATGGTGGCAGCAAAAAATAAAAAAGGCATGCTTATGCATATTTTTCTCTATTTTGCACATCTTTCAGTGAGAACCTCAGGGTGCTTACCTTGTCCCTAGCTGTGCATTGCTTGCAAAATCAATGCTGTATTTGCTGCAGCAATGAGTGCTGAATGAAGTTCAAGTAAGAGGAGGGTCTCACAATATGTAAAGATATTAATTCAGAAATTCAGACAGTTTCTTTTTTATCCCTTCCCTTCCCTTCCCTTCCCTTCCCTTCCCTTCCCTTCCCTTCCCTTCCCTTCCCTTCCCTTCCCTTCCCTTCCCTTCCCTTCCCTTCCCTTCCCTTCCCTTC